CCAGCTGATTTAAGTGCCAGTCTGATTTAAGTGCCCATCCTTTGTGCTCCCTCTTAACACTGCATTATGTTACAATCATGAAGGTTAGGAATAAATGTGTCTTTACATCTGTATCATCAGTACCCCCTGCCTAGTGACTGACAGAGAAAGTTCTTGTATTTTTTTTAATCCTCACCCTAGGATATGTTTTTACTGATTCTAGAAAGAGGAGGAGAGAGAGAGAAGAAAAGGAGGTGGGGGAAGAGAGAGAGAGAGAGAGAGAGAGAGAGAGAGAGAGAGAGAGAGAGAGAGAGAGAGAGAGAGAGAGGGAGAATAGATGGATGGATGGGTGGATATATATATATATAGATAGACAGATCGATCGATATATAGATAGATAGACATCAATTGGTTGCCTTCTGTACTCCCCATGACCAGGGATTAAACCCAAGACCCTTTGGCTTGGGATGACACTAACCAACTGAGCCACACTGGCTAGGGCAGTTCTCATTAATTTTTGATGATTGAACTGACCTTTTTACTTTATTGGGGCCACAATTTTAAATGCACCGACACCAACCAAAAAAAACCCTTGAATCTCATAAAGTCTTTAGATCCAACTACCACTTTAAAAGAAATAGAGAGGACTGGACAATGTTTTACCTGATATCATAGAGTTGCTGTTGGCAAAAATCTAAAATTCTGTGAAATTCCTTTCCTTAAGACAGCTACATTTCTTTAACTGCAATCAAGAAATTGAAGTGTATGGAGCTTTTTAGATCCTGATTTAAAAAAGAAAATACAAAAAAAAAAAAAAAGACTCAGAAATATAAACACTGCATATTTTATATTAAGGTATTATTATTAATTTTTTACATGTGATAATGTATTATGCTTGTTTTTAGAGCCCTTATGTCCAGATAATCTAAGAGGCAGAAGTGGGAGGTGAAGCAGATAAATTGAATTGCCTATGAGCTGATTGTTCTTATAAAGCTGGGTGATGGGCACATTGTGCTATTCTGCCTCTTTATTTTTTTAATTTCTATAATAAAAAGTTTTATTATGTTAAAATACACATTACGCAAAACTTATTAAAATATATTTTTACTAGAGGCCCAGTGCACAAGTTAGTGCACGGGTGGGGTCTGATCGGGGCCAGCCAGTGGTGGGGAGGTTGGCCAGCTGGCCCTGCCCCCATCGGGCCAGTTGGCCGCTACAGTATGTGTCATAGTGACTGGTCATTCTGGTTGCTTGGCTTTTATATATATATTAGAAGCCTGGCACACAAAATTTGTGCACAGGTATAGTCCCTAGGCCTGGCCTATGATAAAGGCCATCTTCCCTGGCTGGCTGCAGGCATCAGGCAATCAGAACCTGCTGGCCAGGGAAGGGACTGAGAGGTCGTCCTTTCCCGCCCACTTGCTGGCCCCACGGTTGCCCTCTGTGTGTAGGGTGACTGGCGGGGCAGGGGCCTTGTCCTGGTGCTGCCCGCATCCTCTACCACCCACCCCCTGATCCCCATTTGCCATCGGACGATGGATGCCTGCCAGCCAGGGAAAGGGACCGAGAGGTGGTCAGTGTGCCTCATAGTGACTGGTAGAGCAGTCGTTCTGGTCGTTCCACCGTTAGGGTCAATTTGCTTATTAGCCTTTTATATAGAATAGACTGGAGTCCTGGTGCACAAATTTATGCATGGGTGGGGCTCCTTGGGGTGGTCTGTGGGGATCAGGCTCCAGCTCACATCCCCAGCTTTGCAGTCTCAGCTTGCACCCCCAGCCTTGCAGCCCCACAGCCCCGCCAGGCACCCCACCATGGCCTGGTACTGCCCCTCACCTGCTCCATCATCCCGCCTGCAGGGCGATCAGTCAGGGCCAGGCCCACCGGCTCAGTTCCCTCAGCACCTGGGAGCCAGGCAGCGGGCATGCCCCCCCATCACCACTGCTGGTCACTATCTGCAGGGCGATCAGCTCACACCCGCCTTGTGCTGCCCACTCACCTGTTCCTTCATCACATCATGGTCCTGCTCTCATCGGGGCTTATCGGGGCCGGCAGCACCTCCACCCACTCGCTGCCAATGCCACATTGCCGACGCCTGCCATGTTCTGCACTGCCCCCTGGTAGTCAGCGCACACCTAACTCTCCATCAGTCGAACTCCCACCTGGGGGGAACAATTTGCATATTAGCCTTTTATTATATAGGGAGGATGAATTGTATCTCAGTAAAGCCGTTTTCAAATAGAAATTGAAGACAGTTTGTGTTCATATTTTCTCTCTCCAACCCATATCCCCTGAACCTAATATTCTAGTGAATTAACTTTGAATTAATACTTATTACCTAGAATTAAGTGATTATTACTTGCCAGCAGCTACTTTCTTTGTTATACCTTTTAGTTTATATTATAAAGAATGGTCCTGGCCATGTGGCTCAGTTGGTTGCAGCATCATCACCAAAAGACTACATGTTTGATTCCCAGTCTGGGGGCTCATACCTAGGTTGCTGGCTCAGTCCTGGCAGGGGCATGTATGAGAGGCAACCTATTTCTCTCCCCCTGCCTAAAAATCAATAAAAACATATCCTCAGGTGAGGATTTAAAAATATGTATCTATATATAATTTTGTTTTCTGTCACTATGGGAGTATATTTAATGCCATAACATAAATATAGTAATATATACACTTGATGTATATATACAGGAATGGGCAAGTGTAGGTTTACACTAATTTGTATGGAAACTAATACAATAATTAATAAATAATAGTACACAAGTAAACTCTGTGCTTCATGTACTCACAACTGTAAATGCACTTTTGCCCCACTCTGTATACATTGGCACTCTTTGGGTAGTGAGGTACAAGAGTTGGCTTCTGTCTTCCTTCTAGTCTATATTTTGCAGGTTTTCAAATTAAGCTACTTTTATGCTGGATAAAAATAGATATGTACAGCCGAAACCGGTTTGGCTCAGTGGATAGAGCATCAGTCTGCAGACTGAAGGGTCCCAGGTTCGATTCCGGTCAAGGGCAATGTACCTTGGTTGCAGGCACATTCCCCATAGGAGGTGTGCAGGAGGCAGCTGGTCGATGTTTCTCTTTCACCGATGTTTCTAGCTCTCTGTCCCTCTCCCTTCCTCTCTGTAAAAAATCAATAAAATGCATTTTTTAAAAAGATATGTACATATTCTTCAGGCAATCAGAAAATTTCTTTAAATATATATTTTATTGATTTTACACAGAGAGGAATTGAGAGTGATAGAGAGTTAGAAATGTCGATGAGAGAGAAACATCAACCAGCTGCCTCTTGCACACCCCCCACTGGGGATGTGCCCGCAACCAAGGTACATGCCCTTGACCGGAATCGAACCTGCGACCTTTCAGTCCACAGGCCGACGCTCTATCCACTAAGCCAAACCGGTTTTGGCTAATCAGAAAATGTTTAGTAAACTTTCCATATATGTGGAGTCAGCATATATATATTTTTTCCTAGGCTTGGTTGTTGGGTAAGAAAATTATTAGGTACTTTCTCACTAAAGGTAGAGACCATGTCTTCTAAAATTGTGTAGGCTATGATACCTACCATGTGCCTTATACATAGAGAGGCCAAGGAGATAACTGTTGAATGAGCGCAGAAGCGATTATCCCTAGCTTGGAAGAAAATAATTATATTTTAATGGTTGTGAAGCTTTTACTGGTCTTGGTATACTTCTCTGCTTGTTTATTAACTCACATTCAATAGGCAAATTGTGTTTATTCTGTCTCCTAGCTCTAGAATTAGTAATTTATTATCAGTGATTCTAGAATTAATAATAGTAAAACCAACTACTGTTTCCTAAAATAATAATAAAAGTAGAATGGACAAAAAACACACAATATAAATCCAAAGCACTAAACAGCAATTAAAAAATTCTACCCATGCTAATTCACTATTTGATTGTCAGACAGTCTACATGTATATTAGACATAGCAAATACTAAAGCAATATTTGACAACTGACCAAATAAATGAATGAAATGTTATTGATTAAAGAATTTTAAGTAATATCCTGAAAATCTACAAGGGAAGAAATTATGAGTAAATGGAAGCTAGAATAAAATCAGTATCTTTTTCCAACCAAGACCCAAGAAAATTAAGCATTTCTTTAATGACTTTGAATTTGTGACTTTCAAAGGCCCAGCAACTCTTACAAATTAAAGAACTTTTATATTTCTAACACACTGTTATATAACATAAATTATAATTTTCCAATATATTTTATTTAATATAGTAATTTAGTTTAATAGGTTGTACATGAAAGTAATTTTCAGACTTTTCCTTATGAAGGACTGACTATAGGCAAGCTCACCAAAGTACTAGATTTACTAAAAATCCAAGTGTAGGCTTTTAAGAGGAGTTCATGTGCACACAAGACATGTGGGGAATGAAAAGAATGGGGATAAATTCATTGACTGGAAAATGGGCTAGAAGATGGAAGATGACATTAACATTCCTTTGGGAGAAAAATAATTTCAACGAAAGGTAACAGTCTCAGCAGAAGCATGACATGGAAAGGTTGGCTGAAAAGTCACTATCTAGTCTAGCTACTTACAAACTTTTAAAGTAAGAAGCAGAACCCTTTATTTGAATGAAAACTTATGTAGAATGCTATTATGTAAATTGCAAAAGCTGAGCTGTTTTGGTTAGTATGGGGTTCGGAGTATGTAGGAACCAAACCCATCCTCCTTGGCCTCCCTGTCTATCCCAATGGACTCCAGGGAACACAGTTTAAAAACAAATCTAGTTTATGCTTATTTAAAAACACAACAACCTGGCTCCAATGGAACCTGATCATTAGGCAGGTGTTAGACATTAATTTGTTAAAAAGAAGCATTTTCCTCAGATTTAAAAAGATGGACGTTGTTTTCTTATCCCTTACAAAAAAAAAAAAAAAAAGTGTTTCACTATTGAGATTATCAGCAGGAGGAATCACTCCACTTACTTGAGATTCTTCTTCCCTTGACCCTCTTGGGGCTGGCTCTGTTTTTTTTTAGCTCTTGAAAGTGGTCTCTCAGCTAGCCAAGGCTAATCTTCGAGTGCTGGTCCTGGGCCGGAAACACATGACAGTACAGAGTGCTCGGTGGAGAAAGGATGAGATGGAAAAGGTGCAAAAGCAAGCCAGCTGTTTCTTTGCTGACAACATGTAAGTACTGAAGGTAATAATTGAAATACACCAGGCTCCTGTCATCTGTTTGTTAATTATCTTTTTTTTTTTTTTTTTTTGCCATTTTTTAAAGTGTATATTTATGTATACTCAGTCTCATTCAAAAAAAAAAAAAAAAAAAAGATTTGAGGCAGCTTACAAAAATAGTTTCTACAGCAGAATAAATTTAACCAGGCTAGACTAAGGAATCAGGATAAAGGAAGAATGGGAGAAAGATATAGTCAGAAGTGAGATTATTACACAGAATGCATGCTATAAGGTCCTAAATAGATCATTTAACAAATACCTTACAAATATGAGCACTTTCTGTGTTCTTGGAGAAGAGAACAAGACCAACAAGTCTCTGATGTCATATGACTTATAGTAAACAGATAAACGAGTTATATAATTCCAGGGTCAATGCTATGAAGACTAAAGCAAAATAAGTAGATAGGAAGAATTAGTTAGGGGTAGGCCAGCAGGTAGGGCGTGCAATAGTTAGGAAAGGCCTTTGGGAGGGGGCAATTCTGAAGGGAATCAGTGAGTCATTTGAGAAAGGGGGAAGGGTGATGGGAAGAGCATACCTGGTACAGGGAACATCAAGTGTTCAAAAAGCAGGAATGAGTTTGGCGTGAGGAAGGCAAGCAGGCCAGTATAGATGGCTGTAGCCGCAAGAGGGAAAATGGTAAGTTCTAGGGTCAGAGAGAAGGCAAGGACCACATTGCAAAGGAACTCAGGGTAAATAAGCAAAGGGCCTGGATGTTATTCTGAATATTACAGAAATGTTACTATGGGCTACAGCTTCTCAGGAAGCCAAAGGAGTCTGGAAAACATGGTCAACAACAATATGAACAGTGTCCATAAAGCGAGAAGAATGAAGTTAATCAGAAGGAGCACAGATCCTCAGCAGGATAAATGAACTTTAACTTGCATTTCATTTTTCATACTATATGCTGACAAGTTTATTTCCAACTTTGCATGGATAATGTGTGTGCCTCAGCCTCAAGTCTAGGTTTCATTAGGTTGTATGTGATAACTTAAAGATATGTCAGTATTCCTCAAACCATTTATTATATTCTGTTCTTATTTTTATAACTGTTTTATTAGAAATATTTTTTAAATGTGCTGCCTGATCTTTCTTCTTTTTTAAAATATCTTTATTGTTGAGAGTATTACAGATGTCCTTGCCCCCTCTTAAGTTTCCCCCCATTGCCCTCCTCCACCCAATCCCATTTCACCTTAAGCCTTCACCACCCTATTGTCTATGTCCATGGGTAATGCATATATGCATATAAGTTCTTTAGTTACTCTATTCTCACTCTGCCTTCCCTCTGATTCTCAATCTGTTTCATGTTTCCATGCCCCTGATTCTATTTTATTCACCAATTTATTTTCTTCATTAGATTATTTGTTCATTTATTTTGATTTTTAGATTCATTTGTTGATAGATATGTATTTATTGCCATTTTGTTGTTCATAATGTTTTTCTTTTTTCTTCTTTTTCTTAAAGAAGACTCTAATGTTTCTTGTAATAATGGTTTGGTGATGAACTCCTTTTGCTTTTTCTTATCTGGGAAACTCTTTATCTGACCTTCAATTCTAAATGATAGCTTTGCTGGGGAGAGTAATCTTAATTATAGATCTTTGCTTTTCATCACTTAAATATTTCATGCCACTTCCTTCAGGCCTGCAAAGTTTCTGTTGAGAAATCAGCTGATAGTCTTATGGGCACACCCTTATAGGTAACTAACTGCCTTTTTTTTTTCTTTTTCTTTTTTTTCTGCTTTTAAGATTCTCTCTTTGTCTTTCACCTTTGCATTTTAATTCTGTGTCTTGGTATGGACCTATTTGGGTTCATCTTGTTTGGGACTCTGTATTTCCTGGACTTGTAAGTCTATTTCTTTCACCAGGTAGGGTAAGTTTTCTGTCGTCGTTTTTTCAAATAGGTTTTCAATATCTTGTTCTCTCTCTTAGCCTTCCAGCACCCCCATAATGTGAATATTGGTGTGCTTGAAGTTGTCCCAGAGGCTCCTTACACTGTCTTCATATCTTTGGATTCTTTTTGCTCTTCTGATTAGATGTGTTTTGCTTCCTCATGTTTCCAAATTGCTGATTTGATTCTTTGTGTCTCTATTGTTGATTCCCTGTAAATTATTCCTCAGCCTTCATTTCTGACTTGGTCCTTTGATGTTCTAAGATCCTTGAAATTCTCACTAAGTTCCTTGACTTTCTCACTAAGATCCTTGAAGCTCTGATTAAGTTCCTTGAGCATCCATTGTTTTGAACTCTGTATCTAGTTTGTTTTGAACTCTGTATCTAGTAGTTTGCTTGCTTCCATTTCATTCAGTTATTTTTCTGGAGATTTCTTCTGTTCTTTCATCTGTGACATGATTCTTTGTCTCTGCATTTTAGCTGTTTCCCTGTGTTTGTTTCTATGTATTAGGTAGAGCTTCTATGTCTCCTGGAATTGGTAGAGTGGCCTTGTGTAGTAGGTGTCTTATAGGGCTCAGGGGCTAAGTTTCCCCACTCACAGGGTGTGCCCCTCTGTGGTACAGTCTTGTTATAGTTGAGCCTTGATTGCAGTTGTCTTCTCCAAAAGGAATTGACCCCCAGGCCAATTGGCTGTGAAGATCAGCTGTAACTACAGTGTAAGAGCTGCTGTTCAGGAGACATCCCTGTGGAGTAGGACTTGCTTTAGTGCTCACTGAGTCTGCTCTTGAGTGTGTCGCTTGTGGATTTGGTAGAGCTGTAATCTGATATGGTCTGAAGCTGTCCCCCGGATGCACTGGCTCTGGGGCCTCCTGAGATGTGCAAAGTCAGCCACCGCTCGTTCCCTGCCTGGGGCCACCTGGCACAAGCTACAGAGTGATCTACAGATGACTGCTACTTGTGTTGGTCTAGGAGGTACCCAGGAGAGGCCAAGCTGTGAACCTGGCAAGCTGCTGCTAGTGGGAGAGTACAGTTGAGCAATTAAGAGTCCCAAGCAGCCAAAACCGGTTTGGCTCAATGGATAGGGTGTCGGCTTGGGGACTGAAAGGTCCCAGGTTCGATTCCGGTCAACGGCTTGTGCCTTGGTTGCGGGCATATCCCCAGTAGGGGGTGTGCAAGAGGCAGCTGATCGATGACTCTCTCTCATCGGTGTTTCTAACTATCTCTCTCCCTTTCTGTACAAAATCAATAAAATATATTTTTTTTTAAAAAGAGCCCGAAGCAGCATTTCTTTCCCCTTACTACCCATCTGTGTTCTAGATAGTGTTGCCTACCAGCTAACATGGTTCCTAAGTATCACTGAGATTATGTTGGTTACAAATGCAGAGGACCTCTGAGGAAAGTAGAATAAGAAATAAAAAACAAACAGCATGGATGGAACTGGAGTGCATTATGCTAAGCTAAATAAATCAGTTGGAGAAAGATAAATATCACATGATTTCTCTCATATGTGGGATATAATGATGAACATAATTTGATGAACAAGAGTAGATGCAGAGACAAATGGAAGGGGGTCAGGTAGAGAGCAACTAAAGGACTTATATGCATGAACATTAGCATAACCAATGGACACAGACACTGGGGCCGTGGGGGCTTGCCCAGGGTGGGAATGGCTGAGGGGTGGGGGAATGTCAATTGGGGAAAAAGAAGACATATGTAAAATTTCAGACAATAAAATAATAATAATAATAATAATAATAATGAAAAGTATAAATAACATGGTGAAGAATGCTATCCTGTGCCATCTCAGTGGTGTACTTGATTGTGTTCTCTCTTTTGTCTGACTCAGCTCAGAGGATGATCCGTTCCTTCTGTATGCCACACTGAACTCAGGGAATCACTGCAAGTTTATCACAAAAGATCTGCTGCGGGACCATAAGGCCTGTCTACCTGATGCCAAGACCCAACGCCTGTTCTTTAAGTGGCAGCAGGGACATCAGCTGGCAATTATTAATAGATTTCTAGGATCAAAAGTAATTTTTCAGGTATGTCATCTGTTCTGTACATAATGTCAACAGAGTCAAGTACATAGTAAGAATGTGGCATAACTCACGGGGTGAAATGTAAATGAAGAGCCCAGGAGATGCTGCCACACCCACCACGGCTGGAAATAAAACAGCATCAGACACAGGGCAGCAGACTCACACAGCCGGAGCGGGGCAGGAGATTGGTTTAACCACTTTGGGAAACTGGCGATTTCTATTAAAGTAAAAACATATGAATCCTATGCCAGCAATCCTACTCCGAGAGAAGCCAGAGCATGTGTTCGACACAGACGTATTCAAAATGTTTCACAGCAGTTTTATTTACAGACATAATATTGGAAACAGCCCAGCAGTGTGGCTCAGTGGTTGAACATCCTACCATGAACCAAGAGGTCACTGCTTCAGTTCCCGGTCAGGGCACAGGCCTGGGTCAGGGGCATGAGGAGGCAGCTGATGTTCTGTCTCCCTTCCTCTCTCTAAAATCAATAAAAACATACTTTAAAAAATAAATAAATAAATAAATAAATAAATAAATAAAATTTTAAAAAAAAGAATGTGGCATCAGCAAAGAATGTTGCAACCTTAAGGGCTTTATTTTTCTGAGTTTTAGTTTGATATTTGAAATTAGCCAGTTCCTAGAAACAGAAAGTCTGCTAGAGCAATAGTTCTTATAGACCAGTGTTTCCCAACCTTCTCTCATGATGAGAATCACCTGGTGGAGTTGTTAAAACACAGATTCCTGAATCCCAACTAAGAAGTGCTAAACTAGAATTTTTAGGAACATATAGGTAAAATTGTATACTTAACTAGTGCTCTAAGACAGATTTTATATACAGAGCACTAAGTTAGGTATGCAATTTTACCTATATGTTCTCAAAAATTCTAGTTTAGCACTTCTTAGTTGGGATTCAGGAATCTGTGTTTTAACAACTCCACCAGGTGATTCTCATCATGAGAGAAGGTTGGGAAACACTGTTATAGACCAACCCTACATTAATTGACATATTGGAAACACCTGGGATGTCATCAATTATGGCTCTAATGCTATCAAATCAAATATTTATACATGGTTTTTATTTCCTTATTTATTTGTAACTAGAGGCTCAGTGCATGAAACTTGTGCACGGGGTCGGGAGGTGTCTCTCAGCCCAGCCTGCACCATCTCCAATCTGGGATCCCTCAAGGGATGTCCAATTGCCCGTTTAGGCCTGATCCCAGTAGGATCAGGCCAAACGGGCAGTTGGACATCTCTCTCACAATCAGGACTGCTGGCTCCCAACTGCTCATCTGCCTGCCTTCCTGATTGCCCCTAATTGCTTCTGCCTGCCAGCCTGATCACCCCCTAACCACTCCCCTGCCAGACTGATTGATGCCTAACTGCTCCCCTGCCAGCCCGATTGCCCCTAACTGCCATCCCCTGCTAGCCTGGTCACTCCTAACTCCCCTCCCCTGCCAGCCTGGTTGCCCCCAACTGGCCTCCCCAGTAGGGCTGGTCCCCCCCAACTACCCTCCCCTGCTAACCCAATTACCTCTTAACTGCCCTCACCTGCCAGCCTCATCACCCCTAACTGCTTTCCGCTGTTGGTCTGGTTCCCCCTTCCCCCAACAGTCCCCTGCAGGCCTGGATCCCCCCAAACTGCCCTCCCCTGCAAGCTGGATTGCCCCCAACTGCCCTCCCTTGCAGGCCTGGTCCCTCCCAACTGCCCTCCCCTGCTTGCCTGATCGCCCACACTGCCCTCCCTGTAGGCCTGGTCCGTGCTGGCCAGCTTGTGGTGGCCATCTTTGACTATATGGGGGCAGCCATCTTGTGTGGTGGAGTGACAATCAATTTGCATATTACTCTTTTAATAGATAGGATAACTAAAAGTTGTTGATCCCTGTGGTTTTTCATACTTCTACTTTCCATTTTCCTGGTTAATCCACTTCTACGAGTTGGTTTCAATTGAATCTTCTTTTGATTCTAGTTTTGGTTTCAATTGAATCCTCTTTTGATTCTAGTTTAGAATGTCTCTTGTATGAAAGCAAAGGGAGAAAATCCAAAGGCGAGTTATTACAGAAAAATACACTAGCCAACGGTAAATGTGGTTTAATAGTAAAAAAAAATATAATAAACAAATTTATAGGAAATATAGTATTAAGTGATACCACAGAAATTCAATCAGCATAATCAAGACTGAGAATTAATAGAACAGCTGATCTTATTTCCTCAACAACAAAAAAATGACCAAAATAATGGAGATGGAAAGGGAAGCTCTAGAGTAAAAGAGAACTGAGAGGCAGGTTAGCCTATCACAATGTAATAGCCTTATTTCAATCCCTGATCATACAAACTATAACACAAACTATATATATACACATAATTGGAAATGTAAACAGGATGCTAAGGATTTATTCATAAGTATGTAAATGGTCTTAATCTTGTATTTACAAAATAAGTCCTTATCTTTTAAAGATATATACTGAATTACAAGAAGAAATTATATATCTGAAATTTGCTTCAAAATAATCAAACTTCAGGGTAGAGGCAGCGGAAAGGAAGTGGGTGGATTATGGATGAAATAAAATAAGCCTTGGGTATATAATGGTTGAAGTTGGGTGATAGGTACATGGGAGTTCATGATACTATTTTTGTATATTTGATTTTTTTCTGTCACATATAAAGCTGGTAAAGGCAACAAAGGGAATACTATATGGTATGTATGTATGTGTGTGTGTCTGTGTGTGTGTGAGTGTGTGTGTGTGTGTGTGTGTATAGAGGGGTCCTTCACCTTAAAAATGAAGAAGCACCCCAAAAAAGAAACTACTAATACTAGGGTTCATTTTTACAGAGCTAGCTGCTCTTTGAAAACCCATTGTTAAGACAAGGAATATGTCCCTAAAACAAATTAAGTAGTCAGAGAAGAAAGGGAAATAGCCCAGCCAGTGTGGCTCAGTGGTTGAGCATCAGATCTATGAACCAGGAGGTCATGGTTCGATTCTTGGTCAGGGAGCAAATATATATAATTTTATTATTTATTTATTTATTTATTTATTTATTTATTTATTTATTTATTTTTAAGGAAAGGGAAATAGCCAGGTATCCTATTAGTGTTGTTCTTAATATTTGGTTTCCTTTTAATTCAACAGCATATTCCCAGCTATGACACAGTGGTGCAAACAACTGGAGACTCGTGGCACATACCATATGATGAAGACCTGGTGGAAAGATATTCTTATGAAGTGCCAACCAAATGGCTTTGCCTTCACCGAAAGATATAAAGACTTTTACCCGCATGCTAAATTTGTATTTGGGTGCCCTCCTGCTTGGCATACTTGTTTAGATCAGCGTTTTTCAACCGCTGTTCCGCGGCACACTAGTGTGCCGCGAGATGTTGCCTGGTGTGCCGTAGGTGCAGACAAGACAAGAATTTTATAATTTTTCACTATTTTGTTTACTTAATATTTCATAATAAAGTAATTATAAAATACTTTCTTTGTGTTTATTTGATTCCTATTCAAGAGAATTACTTTATATATAGTCAATATAGGCACAGAGTTAAATTTTTTAACATTTTCTAATGGTGGTGTGCCTCGTGATTTTTTTCATGAAACAAGTGTGCCTTTGCCCAAAAAAGGTTGAAAAACACTGGTTTAGACCATTGCTTCTGTCCTGTTCTGTTTGGTCCAGTTGGTTTTTATGTCAACAAATTGGTTTTTTAATTAAATGAATTATAATATATTTTCACAAGCCATTGCATTTTCTAATGTTTTTATTGATTTAAAGAGAGAGGAAGAGAAACATTGATGAGAGAGAAACATAGACCAGCTGCCTCTTGCATGTCCCCCACTGGGGGTTTAGCCTGAAACCCCCAAATGAAATTGAACTGGCAACCTCTTGGATACTCAACTAACTGAGCCACACTGGCCAGGGCTCTCTTATATATATGTACTGAGTGGCCAGATTATTATGATCTCTGAACACATATGTCCTATATAATAAAAGGCTAATATGCAAATTGTCCCCTCAACCAGAAGTTTGACCAGCAGGTAGGCTGCCAACCGCCATGTCCCCTTCCCCTGGTCAGGCTGGCCGGACCTCACCCATGCACGAATTCATACACCAGGCCTACCACACATATATATACTGAGTGGCCAGATTATTATGCGTTCAGAGATCATAATAATGTAGCCACACACACACACACATGCAACACGCACACATACAAATATATGGGTTGATTTTTTTTAATTTTTTTTTTAGACTTAACTAGAGCTAGGGAACTTAGTGAAGAGTGAAGCCTACGTTTGTCTTACTGGGCCATCTGTTTCACTTGCTTGGGAAACAGGTGCTTCTGGTATTTTGCTACTCCTGACCTCACCTTCCACCAGTAGCAGAACATGCCCTTTCCAAATCTGTTCAAACTTTTGTGAACTCTATTAACCCATCACTTGCTTTGAGGGTTTTTTTTTTTTTTTTTTTTTTTTTTTTTTTTTTTTTTCATTTAATTACGTTTGACTTAGTTTAACTAAGTGATTACATTTAATAGTTGCCTCTCTGTTTTATTCCTTTACTAGGTAGTTGATACTGGGCCTTGATTTTAGCTGAAAATAATCATTTCTGCAGCACTTTATTTTAGGTTTTTCCTTATTCCTACATACCATATGATTTAATGTTTAAAAACAGGCAAAACCAATCAATCTATGGTGATAAAAATCAGAATAGTAGGCCCTGGCTGGTGTGTCTCAGTTGATTGACTGTTGTCCCATGCACGAAGAGGTCACCAGTTCCATTCCTGGTCAGGGCAGGTTTCCCAGTAGGAGATGTGTGTAGGAGGCAGCCAATGGATGTTTCCCTTCCTCTCTCTCTCAAAAAAAAAAATAAAAAAATCAGAAGAGTAGCTGCCTGAGGAAAGGGGCACAAGAAAACTTTCTGGAGATGATGGGAAGTTCTCAGTGATGCTGTCACAGGGAAAAAATGTGTGTGTGTGTCAAAATTTATTACACTAAACACTTAAAATTGATGCACTTACAACAATGTGCCTCAAAAAACCATGTTAGCATAAGAAAATAACTATTTCATAAAAAAATGACCTTGTTTACGTAAAACAATATACATGGATATAAGTAGGATGTGTATATGGACAGAGAGACAATTAGGAAAAACAGAGTAGGGTATGTTTCACCTCTTTAACTATTTACTGGATCCAGCACTGCTGCACACCAAGACTAAAGAGCTCTCCATGAAAGTATCTACATTAATAAAAGAGAAACATGCAAATTGACCATCTCTCTGCTACACCCACCAGCCAATGAGGAGGGATTATGAAAATTAGAAGGCCATAGATAGTGGCCGTCCAGCTGAAGAGTGGCCAGGCGGGGCAGGACACCTGCTGTGAGTGGGAGGGCGGTGGGCAAAGGGATCTATAGGAGCGGCACGCACTCTGGCAGCAGCGAAGACGAAGATGGCAGACTCCCGCCCCAGTCTGAAGCAAAGACAGCAGACTCCGGCCAGAGTGAAGGCCTGGGTCCCGGGTGCCAGAGGAAAACCAGTGCTGGAAGCCAAGGGAAGGAAGGCCTATTGCACGAATCTCTGATAAATAAGCATTGAAAGAGTCTTAAGAGTCAGCTCTCATTAATGCAATCTTTCTTTTTTAAATTTCATGAACTACATACTTAAAAAAAAAACCTGCTTTCAGTGTGCTAAACCTTTTTTAAGGAACTATCCTAATCTTAAGAAAATTTTTTTTAAAAAGCCTTGCTGGTTTGACTCAGTGGATAGAGTGTCAGCCTGCAGACTGGAGTTCCGGGTTCAATTCCAATCAAGGGCGAGTGCCCAGGTTGCAGGCTCAATCCCCAGTGTGGGGCATTGCAGGATGCGCCCAATCAGTGATTCTCTCTCATTAATGTTTCTATCTCCCTCTCCTCTGAAATCAATAAAAGTATATATATTTTTAAAAGCATTTGTTAAATAAGCTTGCCTGAAAGCCTAATGCAAATGTCTCACAAGAACAGAGATGGGAGAGGATACAAAAGGAACCTAGAACTTTAGAGCAGGAGTGAATCTTAAAGAACATAAAGTTCATTTTATAAAGGAAGAACAGACCCCGCTAGTTAGTGAAACCATTTCAACCATAACCCACCTCTTCTGATTCCTAGCTAACTATTCTTCCTTCTGTGCACTAATTTAGGCTAGAGTGGTTCATAAAAACTGAAACAAACTGAATGGTAGAGCATACAGTATTTACATTAGAAACTTTGTTAGCCACATAAGAGTAAGGGAGAATGAGAGGAAGAGGACAGGAAGTACCTCTTTAAGGCCCACATTCCCAGAATGGCCAGCAGTGTAGACAATTGTGAAAGGGAAATTACATTATTTTTAACTCTTTAATAACATTAAAAAACAAAACCCTAATTTCTGCTTGAGGTAAATTAAGGTGCATCTGTTCTTTGTCCGAAGGCGGGGGAACCATCCTAGGATCACTCAGAGTAAAGCTAACACAGGAACCTGAGGAGTGCAGGGTTCTCTGAACAAAGGCGACTGGTAACAAACATATAAACTGTCTTTGTGTATTCTGGTCACCTGAGTCAAACAGGCTACCTGTCACACAAGGTCCAAGACACCACGGAAAGAAGATTAAAAAATCTATCCTGGGGATTGAAAGTGTCTTTAAAGTCAGCCATAAACAACAAAGGTTTTAAAAATGCTTCCCTTTGACATGCTTCTGAATTTATACTGTTCTTTCCTCCTGCTGTTCTTAGGCCCAAAAAAGAAAATCTCAAAGGAGAAGATTGAGTTCATTCTCTCAGGGGACCTTCAGGTCTGCCTTACCTCAGGTACCTTGTTCTTCACTTGAAATTAACTTTTCTCGTCAAGTGTAATTAGTGCTTCCTTGGACCTCTAGCAGGTTTCTAACTTTTTCAAAACTGTCCTAAGGTACTATGAAATGTATCATATGTGTTCACATTAGATTTCTTTTTCCTTGATAGTTCCATTCTAAGGCAGGTGTGGAAAGGCCAGGTGTGTTGTGTAGGCACCTTAATTCTGGTCCATCATGTGAGTCTTATCGTCATTTGCTAAAAATCAAAATTATTGGGGTAATTGAGGATAAAGCAAAATAGGGAAAGCAGATCTGGTGTTTTGCCCATCCTTCAGCAATTTGGAAATCACAGGGTGAAAAGCTTCGAAGGGAACCTCGGTGGAATGACTGGGTATATGGGAACGGACCGCTGAGATGGTGATATTTATCAATAGATTTGGGTATTCTTTCCAGAATGGGACTTACCCAGACAGAGTTCTCAGTAATAGGGACCAGGCAGCGGCTGGAGCCTCCTGTGGCCCAGGGTGAGAGTAGGGTTGCCAGATAATATATAGTACTCTCAGTTAAATTTGAATTTCAGATAAATAATCATTTTTTAGAATAGATATGTCCCAAGTATTGCAAGGATATGTACTAAAAATATTGTCTCTCTGAAATTCACACTTAACCTGACATCCTGTATTTTTTTATTTGCCAATTCTAGCAACCCTAGGTGGGAATTATATGGAAGGGGAATGGAAATGGAGCATCTATATAGCCCAGCAGTACTGCAGGAAGCAGGAGGGGAGCAAGGATAAGAAAAGAAGGGAGGAGGAAGAAAGAAGACCAGATTTTTCCTGCCTTGTCCCAGTCAGTGAAAAGCAGTCTGTTTGGTTCTATACTAAAACGAAGGGAGTTCCACTAAGAGATCTATTTAAAGGAAACCATAGAAAACAATGAAGTGGAAAAAAAAGATGAGACAGGGACATCAAAGAGTACATGTAGGAAGTCTTGAGAATTGATCTTTAATTTTCTCTTACCATGTCTATTTTACGGTGTTTCAAGATTCCCATGAAGCCCTCTCCTCCCAAGTTTGTTCTTTGTTGACAATATTTGTTCTGACAGATGCTTCCAGAGACTTAACATAATTTCAACTAGGAATTGAAATAAGCAGAAAGATATTATCTAGTCACTGATGGGAGCTACAAATAATTTTGCTACTAGAGTATCTCTGAAGTGCACTGTTATCAAGTGGATTGCGTTAAGATAACCATGATAATTTGCTATAAACAGTGTCCTATGAAGGTTTTTTGGTAGCTTCTGATAAGAAATTTCATGTACAGAGTTCATTTCAACCACATTAAAATGACTTCCCCAGTCATCTCTTTAATGTTTGTTAAAGTCCAGCCAAATAAGCAAATATTGAGAAATCATTGGTAGGGGGCTTTAATTTCTAATATAATAGAAACGTAAGTTCATTTTGAAGAGACCGGGTGAGATTGTTCTGTCACTCTCAACTGAACTGGAACATTACCAGGTACCAAGTTCAGTTCACATTTACATACTTAAAGTCTGTTATTAAAACACATCCCTTGTGCTTTGTCTGACTGCGTCAGAACAGAGAATGTCAGTTTCCTGATAGAAGCCAATAGAATTCTGTGATGATCCTGCTGTCCTATAGCTCTCTGGGCAGAGTGTACCCTAGGAGAATAGAACAGGGCCTCTATGTCCATGAAACAGGTTCCTTAGGAAATGGTTATAGCAGGTCTTCTGAAGGTTAAGTCCCCTGTTCACACTTGTTGCTTAAGATATACTGTTATTACTAATTCTTTAAAAATGAACTATTCTCATATTTTCTTCTTCTTTTTAGTGACCTTGTCCTAGAATCCAAAGCTGCATTTTTTTTTGTATCCTCTGTTCCAAAATTGAGCAGTCTATTGCTATTAAGTGT